GGGAGCGCGCGGTGACCAGCCGGGCCGTAGCCGCGTGGAAAGTATGCGGGGCACGTGGGGGGCGGGGCAGGCGGGGCGAGGAGTCGGGTCCCGAGCCGCCCGGGCTGGCAGAGGAGGGGCCTGGCTCCTGGCGCAGGGGCAGGGGCAGGGGCAGGGGTTGGGAGGGGAAGAGAGGTCAGGCCCGCCCTCCGGGGCAGCAACCGGGACTGCGCTCCGCACTGCGACTGGGGCTCTGGGCTCTCCTGCCTCAGTTTCCCCAAGCCCCCGGTGAGACTCCACCGCCACCACCACCACCACCACGTCAGTAACGCAAACCTAGACTCTAGGACTCGGGGTAAACTGAGGCACTCGAACCGCGGAGGAACTCCGCCTCCCAAGAGACATTTAATCCCGGGGGATTTACAAGAAACTTCTAAATTAAGGGCAGCGGCTGCTCCAGCTGAGGAGGGGCACGCCAGTCCCCGCGCCAGGGCAGCTGCCCTGAGCTCACGCCCCGAAATAGCCCTAGGGGCCCCAGCCGCAGCTGCCACCGGGCCCGGCTGTCAGTCAGAAGAAGCGCGGAGCCCCCAGCCCGAGGGTCCCCTCCCCGCTGTAGCGACAGGGTTTTTCCAGCCGAAGGTCGGCTGCTTTTTCCTCCGACGGCTGGCAAGAGGTGCGGGCAGAAGGATGGGGGTGGGACCCCCAGGGGGGCGGACCCAAGGGGGTGGGCACAGGGGGCGGCCGCGCCCCCCGGCCGGGCAGTGCTTCTGCCCCTACAAGGTTTGGGCTGACGTGGGGGAGGGTCCTGGTTGCCGGCTCCGCCCGGTTCCTCCCAGCCTTTTAGGCGCCCGCGCTGCTGGGACATCCCAGTCCCTCTCGGTCCTCTTCACCCGCCACCCGTGCGCCTAGTCCGCCTGGTTGTCACTGCCTGCCAGCCGGCCCACGCCCCACCGCAGCCATGGACGCCATCAAGAAGAAGATGCAGATGCTAAAGTTGGACAAGGAGAATGCCATCGATCGTGCTGAGCAGGCCGAAGCAGACAAGAAGCAAGCTGAGGACCGCTGCAAGCAGGTGGGGGCCCAAGCCCAGTGTGGCCTCCCCTCCCCCACCAAGGGTGGAGTGGGCTCCTGCCCTGGGTCTCCCAGCCTTGGGCCTGCTCTCCAAGGTGCTCTCCCACCCAGGGTGAGGGCTGGGCCTTCACAGTACTGTCAGGTCCCTGGCCAGAGACACACTTCATCTCATCCACCATGGGGAGCCCCAGTCTCCTGGTTTCCACTCCTGCCCTTGCAGAGCAATGATGGGTCCTGCTCCTTGAGGCCCAAAGCTTTCTCTGTACCCCCACCAGGTCCCCTAAACCCCTTGACTGGACTGTCCCTTTTCTGTTATTCCCCTTCCTCTCCAGCAGCCTCCAAATAGCTCTTCCTAGCCCCCTGCACACACTCCTGCCTACTCCTGGGCCCCCACCCAGGCCTGGCTGATAGAGCCCCTCTCTCCCAGCTGGAAGAGGAGCAGCAGGGCCTGCAGAAGAAGCTGAAGGGGACAGAGGATGAGGTGGAAAAGTATTCTGAATCCGTGAAGGATGCCCAGGAGAAACTGGAGCAAGCCGAGAAGAAGGCGACTGATGTGAGTAGGGACTTGGGGGATGGTGGGGGGAGTTAGTGCACCTGGGAGGGCCCCCCCAGGCATGGGGATGAGGGGAGAAAGGGACCTAGATATCCCCAGCACCAGGACAGAAATGGCTTCCTCTCAGTCCCCAGAACTAGGGCAAGCTTAGACAAATAATCCAAGACAGTGAGTAAATCAAAACCACCTACCACTTCCCCCAGAGGACTTAGCCTTGTAATTCTGTTTGGGTCCAGCTTTGAAAATGTACAGTGATCAAGCAGTGAGTCATTGTGGGGGGTGTGTGGTACAAGAATTTACCATCTACCTCAGTTAATCCTGCAGCTGAAATTGGAGAGGAGACTGCAGCTAGATTGGGGGTGGGGAGATGTGGGTGTGAGGTACTATTGAGCAGGAGGAGGGAGAGGGATCCAAAGATGGGGGCCAACTTGAGTTACACCCCTAAGGGGCCATTAGAAATTCCCTGGCCTTAACTTCTGCCTCCAGTAGCCCTTCTGTGCACTGGGGCCCAAGCTCAGGTTCTAATGGCTCCTCATTTACCCTCATTAAGCTGTCAGCCTCAAGACCATGCCAGGCCACAGGGCAGAGGGACAGGGCCACAAATGCCAAAGCAGCTACCTTGGCAGTTCCTGCTTACCCTGAGATTTCTCTGCCCACCCTACAACCCCAAGCAGACTTCTCTACTTCCTGCCATTCCCAACCCCTACCTTAAGGTAGGAGAATGACCATATAGTTTTGGACATCCTACTTTCACCATTCTCTGACTCCATTTCCCCATCTGCCTTCCATAGTCAATTATTTTAGGATGAACCTATGGTTGGGCTGTGTGGGGGGATTAGCATAAAGCATGATCTGAGCATCAGAGATGACATTACTGTTTGTATTGACCATTATCCCTGTTTCCCAGCCCCCGGGGTTGGGCTTCTCTGACCTCCAGCCCTCAGTTTTGGTTCTCCACCGGCCCTGGCACTTGGGAGGGAACTGACTTGCAGCTGCTAGCAAAGACAACCCTGGGCATCTGACACTCTATAAATAACCAAGGCCCAGTGCAGCTGGAGGCAGGACTGGAAACCCAAGGAGCTGGGTGGGGGCTGGAGGGGAGCAGGGCAGACAGGGCCAGAGCTGGGGAAGCAGAGCAGCAGGGCCAGAAGCAGATAGGAAAGACTGCCCAAACTTACCGTGTGACCTTGAACCCAGCAACTTAATTTACACAGTACCTCAGTTTCTCCTTTCTCTCTTGCTTCCAATTTGTCCAGTGGGGACAGTAGTGTCTGTCCTGTGGTTAGAGAATGGCATGCATAACTGGGAAGAGCTTGAGGAGCAGGAAGTGGCAATATCAGTCCCATGATGAGGACCCCAGGACTTCCCAAACTTTCCAAAGTCATTTGTCCCCCTACCACCACGAAGAGAGTTTTTCTTTTACAGAGTCTCATCTTTCTCTAGAGTAGTCCTCCAACATCCCCCAGAGTTATCCTTCCCAACCCCCAATGCTGTCCCCAGAATCCTTCCACACTGAGTCATCCGGCCCTGTGCCCATGATGGGCTCTTGTCACTCTAGGTGGCCAAGCTCCAGGTGCCTTCAGCACCTGGAGGACAAGCTAAATCTACTTTCTATATATGGTGCTGTGTTTCTCCTGCCCTACAGTGCCACCCTGGACCTGCTTTCCAGGCCCTCTGCCCCAGTGCTGCCACCCAGCTCCTCCCCTCCACTCACTCCTTCCCCTATGCTGGCGCTTCCTCCTGTCCAGTCTTAAATCTCGGCGTCTCTATGTCTTTGTTTTTGAGGGAGAGACAGGGATACTCTAACATTTATGGAGTGTGGACCTGTGCAGGCAAAGTGCTTGGTGCTTTCTGCATATTATTTTACTATTTCTAAAACTTGGCTTATCATGAGAATGACTTGGGGGCTTTTTAAAAGAAAGAGAGACGATTCCCAAGCACCCACCCTGGAGATCTCAATTCAGTGGATCTAGCATGGAGCAAAAGAACCTGTTTGGTTTCATAAGCCTCCCAGATGATTAATCGAGTCTTGTTGATTAATAGAGTATTAGAAGCACCTCATTATCTCAGAACAACCCTAAAAAGAAGGAACCATTATTAGTAACTTCAACTTATTAAAGAGGAAACTGAGGCTTAAAGAGGCTAAATAAGTTGCCCAAGGTCACACAAGTGTTGAGTGGCTGAGCTGTGGCTCACAGACAACAGTCTGACTCAGAGCCAGTGCTCTTAACACCAGACTGCATTGCTTCTCTCATTTTACTTTATTGGGGCCCACCTTGCTCTGCCCTCCCATTTTCTCAGTGTATCATCAGGTTTTTTGGCTCTTTTCCAAAACCTCCATGGTTTTGCCTCCATATTACAAGACCAGGGGCTGAGTATCCATCTCTCACACTGCCCCTGCATTGTCCCAGCTGTCTCCTGGCCTTGGCAGGGAGCCCCTTGCCATGGATGTCCCCTATAGGACCGGCTTGCCTCTTAGGCCCCTTGCTGGGAGTCTGCCTGGCAACCAGTGACATCACTGAGCTTGATTCTGTGACTGGCTATTCTTAGCGGCAGTAAAACCTGGTTGGCTTACTTGGGCCAGGCTGTGCTGTGAAGGAATCAGAGCTGACTCCCACTTGCTCCCAGCACATGGAGTGTTCTCACCGGGGACAGAGGACCTGTGTGCTGATAACCATGCACAGTGCCAGAAGAGGCCCTGTAGCAGGGCAGTGGGGCTTGTCAAGGAATGCATGTTTTTGGCTGAAGCACAGAGTCTGGGCGCAGAAGATGCTTGGTTGGGGAAAAAATAGGTTGAAAGTCTAGTAGCCAGGAAGCCTAGGTTCTTTCCTGAGAAGAGTCTTGCCATCCTGTGGAGCCTCTCTGATTCTCATACAAGACAGACAAAAGCCTTTTTGCCCTCTGCCCTCTGACCACAGGCTGAGGCAGAAGTGGCCTCCCTGAACCGCCGCATTCAGCTGGTAGAGGAGGAGCTGGACCGGGCGCAGGAGCGCCTGGCCACTGCCCTGCAGAAGCTGGAGGAGGCTGAGAAGGCCGCTGATGAGAGCGAGAGGTGGGCAGGGGGCCTTGAGGGGGGAGGGCCGGTGGAGGGGAGGGATCCTGTCTCTTCTGGTCCTGACCCCACAATTGCTCCTCTCCCTGCCTCTCAGAGGAATGAAGGTCATTGAGAACCGGGCCATGAAGGACGAGGAAAAGATGGAGTTGCAGGAGATGCAGCTGAAGGAGGCCAAGCACATCGCTGAGGATTCAGACCGCAAATACGAGGAGGTGACAGCCCTGCCTTACTTCCTTCTCACTGCCAAGCCCCAGATACCCCCAGTCATCCACCACCAATCCACTCTTTCTCTCTCCCACTTCCCAGGTGGCCAGGAAGCTGGTGATCCTGGAAGGAGAGCTGGAGCGCTCAGAAGAGAGAGCTGAGGTGGCTGAGAGGTAAAGATACCCTGGGGTAACAAGTGACACTCAGCCTGAGCCAGTGCCCATGGGGCACTCTGCACAGTGGGGAGGCAGTGTCCCAGGCTTGGGGACATAGGGACAGATCCTGTCCTCTGACCCCTGCCTGCTGCCCCCAGCCGAGCAAGGCAGCTGGAGGAGGAACTTCGAACCATGGACCAGGCCCTCAAGTCCCTGATGGCCTCAGAGGAGGAGGTAGTGACCTCTCCGGACCTTTCTGGGCAATGGTGCCTTCCCTCAGCTCACCGTCTCCTCCTGCTCAGCATCTCAGGCTGCTCTCTCTCACTTGCTGGGGGTCAGGAAGGGCCTGGGGCTTCCAAACTCTACCTACTGTCACTCTCACAACCTTGCTCTTCTCTTGTCTCCTCCACCCCTCTCCCACTGTGCCATCTCCACTGTCTGGCCTCACTGTGCCCTCACACCCCGCCCTGCCACACACCCCTACAGTAAATGTGGGGACCTAGAGGAGGAGCTGAAAATTGTTACCAACAACTTGAAATCCCTGGAGGCCCAAGCGGACAAGGTAGAAGGGGGTAGAAGGGCAGTGAGGACGGGGTCCTGCAGGGGAGGGGGTGATGGGCCCAGGCAGGGAGGGGCTGGGTGCTCAGCAGAGGCAAGATCACGAAGAACCTGTGGAGTTAGTGGAGAACTGAAATATTCATGGAGGCGATGTACTGACGGCATGTGTCTGTCCCTAAAAGTATTCCACCAAAGAGGATAAATATGAAGAGGAGATCAAACTGCTGGAGGAGAAGCTGAAGGAGGTGAGAGTTCTCTTCTAGTGCCCAGTCTTCCTTCAGGCCACCCTGATCCCCACGAGAGACTGCCTGTGGCAGCGGAGGTGGGGATAGGGATGGGGAGAAGGTTGACCAGTGGTCTCAAGGAAGGCCTAATTTTTCCCATTTCTCCCACCCTGCCTTTACTCCTAGGCTGAGACCCGAGCAGAGTTTGCTGAAAGGTCCGTGGCAAAGCTGGAGAAAACCATTGATGACCTAGAAGGTAAAAGGAATACCCCTTATACCCTCAGATGTTTTTAAGTAGGTCCACACCCCCCGTAACTATCAGTCTGCCCCTTATCTTCCCACCCCATTCTGTTTGCCACCAATAAACTAGAGTTGGACCACCTAGGACTCCACAAACTCCAGGGGGCTATGCCTACAATTCAAATTCGAGTAATTGTAGTTGGCCACTCACATCAACTGCAGTGCTACTCAAACTTCAGTGTGCATGAGAATCACCTGGAGGGTTTTAGAAGCACAGATTCCTGAGTCCTACTCCAAAGTGACTGCTGAATGTGGGCTGGAGCATTTGCATTTCTAACCAGCTCTCTGGTAACGCTGCTGGTCCCCAGACCGCACTCTGAGTGGCACTGATTTAGACGATCCCATCTCCAAGTGTAATACAATAGAGTCACATCACGGAGACTGTATTAAATAGAGAGCTATTTGATTTAATATGTAGGTTTGCATGATGACATTAATGAAAAATACTATTTTAAGCTAGATTTGGTGAAAACAAACATCCAGACATTTGTTAGCCTGTGGCTTTTTCTATCATTGACAGTGTTGTGACTAAAGGCGTCTTTCTATGCCTGTCTATTCTATGATAACCCTGTAACTTTCCCACTTCTCTTGCTCCCAGCCTTCTCAGGCAAGCATCAATTTTATCTCCAACTTCAGGATATTAGCCCCTTCTGGCTTCAGCACCCTTGCTCTCCCGCTTAAGCAAGCATTCCTGCTTGTCCAGAGCACTGTGCCCACAGGTCCCTGGGGAGGCAGGAGCTCCTGTGGGGAGAACCAATTTGGGGTACAAAGAAGGACTAAAGAGAGAAGGGGAAGGAGGGAACCCTGATGGCTGTCCAGCCTGTTCTCTGGCCTCTCTCATTCTGTCTGTCCACCTCTCTCTGATCCTTTTCTCTCCTTCCCTTTACCCTCTCTCCTTCCTTCCTTTCCTCTTTCCCTCCATTCCCTCTCCCCACACTCCCACCTGCCCCCCATTCCCCGGACTCCCCAGATGAAGTCTATGCCCAGAAGATGAAGTACAAGGCCATCAGCGAGGAGCTGGACAACGCACTCAATGACATCACCTCCCTCTGAGCTGCACACCAGTGTGGCCGCCCCAGCCCCTTCTCTCCTGTCCTTTCCATTCTTTCTGTGGGGAAGGGGAGGCAGGAAGAGCAAAAATTGCCAACATTGCACAGCCAGGCTGGGAGCAGCCCAGGGAGAGGCCCCATCATACCCTCCGCCCACTCTGGCACTGGCTTCATCCTTCTGTCTGTCACACCCTCCACCCCTCCTTGCTGCCTAATAAACTCTGAACTTGGTCTCCATGCTGTTTTCCTGCCCTCCAGAGAGCACTTCCATCACCGCCACAGAGCGCTGGTTCACTATTGAGACCCTGGCTCTTACCGACACCCCCATCTGTGACACACCCCTCTACACCGAGCCCACCCACACTGAAACCCCTCTGCATGGCACTCCCCGTCTGTCACCTTCTGACTCTCACTGCTGCATGTGGGCCTGTGTGACCCCCCTCCACACACCCGGTGCCCACCACTGACCCTGGAGCACTTAGCTAGGCTTCCAGGATCAGGCAGAAAGGCTAGAAGGGAAATGGGTGGTGAGGTGCCGGGAGGGGCAGGAAGGCTGTGAAAGTTCTGGAATGAAGTCCGGAAAAACGTTGGATATCAACAGCACGGGGCTTTCACTGCAGCTGCAGGTCTGTTTTCTGCCTCAAGTCTGTTTGTCTGGCCCTCCCTTTCCTGACTCAGTCTTTGTCTTTCCTTCTGTTTCCAACTTTCTTAAACCTTCTCAAGAAAGAGGGTAAATTAGTCAATGACTCAGGCCTCCTTGTCCCACCTCCGTGACCCCAAGGTCTTGACTGAGGCATCTGTTTCTGTCCTGTTCCCTCGTCCTGCTCAGCACATCCGTTTGCCCATGAGGCCCGGGGGTCCCTGAATGCTGTATCCTCCCGTGTATCCTAAACCACTCCATGTCTATATGTCACCTTCCCCTGTCCGTGCCACCCCATGTTTCCCCCCCATGTCTCCCCTCCCCCTCTTCACCTGCTGCTTCCCCTCACAGAGACCTTGGCCAGTGCCAAGGAGGAAAACGTGGAGATTCACCAGACTCTGGACCAGACCCTGCTGGAACTCAACAACCTGTGAGGGCCGCCCTGCCCCACCAGGCTACAGTTGCCACCCCAACCCAATAAAACTGATGGTACCGGCGTCACAGGGCCCTTTAAGCCTTTCTTTGCTGGAGTTGGAAGACCCCTGAAGGAGAGGGCCTGGGTCTTTGCTCCGTGATGGGATGTCCTTTTCAGTGGCAGCCATGGGATGGGAGCACAGGGCTCATTGAGGAGGAATTGTGGACAGGCTGTGTGAAACAGAGAAGCCGATAGGGCTGGGGGGACATCTGGCCCTTTCTCCCTATGGGGCAAAGGAGCTGCCATCTGCAGCACTGCCTTACTCCAGTGGGCCGGACCATACATTCTGAAGGCAAAAAATACAAGATGTGACACAGGTGTTCCTTGAGCAGGGTGAAAACCCAAAATGCTCCGTGATTTTAAGCCTATAGGCCATAGTCCGCCCTAACCCCAACACACACACACACACACGCCTACACACACACACACACACACAAAGCCATTCCAACAGTATCAGTCATTTCTTTCCCCTTCCCAGTGACATCTGTGGTAGGCGGAATAATGCCCCTCCTCCAAAAATGTCCACATTCTAATCCTGTGAAATGTTACCTTACGTGGGAAAGGGATTTTGTGATTAAGCTAAGATTTTGAGATGGGGAGATCATCCTGGGTTATCTGGGTAGGCCCAGTGTGATCACAAGGGTTTTTATAAAAGGGAGGCAAGAAGTTCAAAGGCATTAGTAGGGGATGTGACAATGAGAGCAAGAGGCCAGAGTGACGCGTGGAAGGAGCCGGGAGCCAAGGAATGCAGTTGGCTTCTAGAATCTTAAAAAGGCAAGGAAACATTCTACTCTCAGAGCATCCAGAAGGAATCAGCCCTACTGATATCTTCACTTTAGCCCATAAGATTCATTTGGGACTTAAGAACTTCCAGAACTAGAAGAAAATAAATTTGCATTACCACTAAGTTTGTGGTAATTTGTTATGGCAGCAATAGCAAATTAATATACAATCCTTCTGAGGAACAAAGGTGATTTCCACATGTTTTATTAGAAATATTTATTTAAAAAACGTCTTTAAGATTAAAAAGAGATTAAAAGAGAAGTGGTAAAATGCGCAGGACAGGACAGAGTTTCCAGCTTCCCCCAGATTCCTCTAGCTGGCTTCTCTGCACATCCTCCAAGTTCCAGGTCTCTAGGCGCCAGTCTCGGCGACCTCTGCAGGTTGGTAGCTAACAACCGCTTTGGCCCCACTTCTGTGTGTACACAACAGGGAAGCCTAATCAGAAAACTGGCCCAGGATGAGCTCACTTGAGTGCAGTGTGAGTGAAACTTGGTGTTCTGTACTCCACAGGGGCTGGGGGTTGTGCCTGGGGGAGGAGTCGGTACAGTACCTGTGCTGCCTTCGCATCTGTACGAGGAGGGCAATGCTGGTGACAGCAAAGAGGAGGCCAAAAACCAGGGCCAGGATGTCACCTGGGAGGGGGAGAGGAGAGGTCTGCAGGGCTCCTCAAAGTCTGCTCCAGTGCAGCCCCCAACCCCTGTCCCAAGTTCTCAGGCAGCCCCAGTGCCTTGGTTTCCAGAAGAGGCCAGCCAAGGGATAAGGGTGGATACACAGGAAGAGGTAAGATGAGCACCATTTTTCCTTCCTAAAAGCTAAGTAAAAGGGTTGTTTGGGGAGGGGATGCTAGGAGATTTCTGGAGCTTCATTCTGACAATGGTGGAATTCCCCACCCCATGTTCTGACTCGGAATTGGACTGGAGTTAGGGGTCTGTTCTGCAGCAAAGGACAGGGAGCAGAGGTGATCCTCACTAGTCCCTGGAAGGGGTGTCTCCCAGTAACAGCAAGAGGAGGGCCACAGACTCACCAGGAGCAAAGCAGGAATTCAGGTGCACTGCAGAGAAAAAGAAGACATTAGAGCCGCACTGTGACCACCAGTGACAGACACTGGCACACATGAAGACACATGGGAGAGTGAGGACCTGTGGCTGGGGGACACCAGACAAAGATGTACCTGGCTCAATGGTCCGAGGACTGCTGTCCACTCCAGCAGGAAAGGAGGCCTCAATCACTCGCCCATTCAAAGGCTGTGTCACTCGGAAGTTCAGCTGTAGCCGAGAGTCACTGGGTCCCCACAGGGAGCCAGAGAGAGTATGGAGCTAGGGAGGTGTGTGTGTTGGGGGGCTCAAGGCATGAAAGGAAACAAGGGTCCCAGGCCTCCTCACAGCCAACACCTCAGGGTGCCACCCTCCATCTCCCACACCCCCCACCCAGCCCCTTGATGTCTTCATTCTCCACTTTCTTACCTCATCCTGGATTTCTTTGCCCCACACCCGCTCTGTCAACACCACCCCCAGTCCCACCTGCTTGGCACTCAGCCTCACTGTCTGGTTGAACACAGTCCAGATGACCCCCTGGGCACAGGGCGGTGTGGTCAGAGACCCCTCATATCGGAAGTAGCGGCTGAGGTCGGAGGGTAGCAGTGCAGATACGTCCAGTCCTGGGACCCAAGTCTCTGAGCCTGTGGAGAGGACCTGTGTTGGGATCTCACCTACATCATGCCCCTTGAAGCTTCACCTCCGAGGAGCCAAGTTAAGTCCCTGAGACACCTCTTCCCTGAGTGTGGGCCCTTTCCGCAAGACGTGACTGCAAAGAAAGTGAAGGGCTCTGGGGCTCTGGAGCAAGAGCTGCTGAGGCCCTCCCTCTGCGTCTCCCCTCTTGCCGCACGCTGCCACCACAGGCTGCACCACAGATTTAAGCCAGAGTGAATTAAAAAGGGAAAATGAGCTGCATAACTTTTAAATAAATATGAATATTTATAACTATAAAAAAACAGACACAAGAACTCCAAAGGCAGAGTTCACTCTAGTTTAACAAAAACCCAAAGGTCTAGTAGTGTAAGTGAGGTTTAAAATGACCCAGAGTGACTGAGAAGGGAAAGAAGATTTCCAATAAAAGTATTTACAAAGTCAAAATATCTGATGCTTATGAAAGAGAAGTAGGCAGTTCTCAGAAAAAGTTTCTCTCTCCAGACTTGACCCCAAAAGTTCCAAACACCATTTTTTATCTTTTTTTTTTTTTTTTGGTCTAATTTTGGTTTTTGTTTGGTTTTTAACCATCAAGCCTGTTGTGGGCAGTTTGCCGGCACCTGTTTGCCTCCGTCAGCTTCACAGTCATTGTCATGATGAGGGCCAGTGCACACGCAGCCCCCTCCTGCATGGGAGGGCGCCCACCTCCAGCCTCAGACCTGAGGCTCCCCAGGGCAGTTCTCTATGAACTAGGGCATTGAGGGTAGTGGCCAGACCAACAAACTGACCTGCCTCGGCGATTTCTTCCAAATGCGACAGCAACTGCTCATAGGCACTGTTTTCTTCCGGGCCCTCCTGGGGGATGACAGCGTAAGACAAATACCAGGGAGTCCCAAAAATGGAGTGGGGCTCCCATAGCCCTCCCCCATTCCTCAGCTCTGAGAATGCTGGGGAAACATAAAATCTTATGTATTATTACTCAAAGTCTATTTACTCTTGCTTTGCAAACAAGTTTGGTGGACTGGCTTTCAATGCCCAGCTGGAGTAGGAGGTGGGAGAGGGGCCACTTTACTACGATATTAGGCCCTCGGTGACCTGGGCCCAACTCACCTTACACAGTTTCACTCTTCACTACTTCCACATGCTCCATGGTTCCCCACAGAAAACCATAACACACCTTTGTATTCGTGTTACTTCTGCATTCGCCTTAATAATGCATGTGTTTGACTTTGGGAGTGAGGTCCTGACATGCTATTTCTGAGGCACCTCTCTCAACTTTGTGCTGTGCAGTTGGCATTAAGCAATCAGCGGGTGAGCCTAGAAGGGATCTCACCACCCCTTCACTTTACTGGCCTCCTCTAATTGAGTATGTAGCCTTGACTATTAAAGGGCCAAAGAGGTCACTAAATACTGCATTTCACAAAGGGGAAATGATGGGTCATTGGAATATTACAGAAATTACTCTCCCAGATGTCCAGGCTATTGCATCTGCCATTCCCTAAATAGGCCATATTCTGAGTCTTCCCACATACTGTTCCCTCTACCTGGAACACTTCCTTTTCTTTCCCACCAGTAAAAGAGTTTCGCCTCCCTGTGGCCACTATTTTTACTCTGTGTCCTTAGTATATATCTGTTATGTCAGCCTCCGCCACTGGCTGTGGGCTCCTTAGAGGCAAGGACCCACAGCCTTTGAATCCTTGTGGTGGTCCAGTGCCTGTTCACAGTCACAGTGGGTGTTGAATGAATGAACCTATGAATGAATGAGGCTGATAGCCAGGGGCCAGGGTGAGCGTGCTGGGATGGGATTTCTGGGGCCAAGATACGTTGGGTCCAGGAGTGTGGGGAGGCAGGGAGTAGGGCCGTGTCCAGGGTCTTGTACCTGCAGAAAGGCGGCCAACACGGCCAGGCCTCCCGGGCGCCCCAAGGCGTCGTCAACTTTGGCAAATGCGGTGCTGATGTGAACCACATGGATCTGCAAAGGACACGAGGGTAGGAGTGGGCCAGATCTCCGGCCCCGCCCCGCCCCGCCCCTGTGCCCTTACTCGGACAGCTCCGTGCTCACCTCGGCAGGGAAACGGTGGCCGTCAACGGTGTGCTCTGAGCCCGCGCGACCCGCAGCGCCCCAGTGCAGATGCAGCTGCAGGGCCCGGTACTCCCGCCCAGGACCCAGGGCCATCTCTAGCCCGGGAGGTAGAGTCAGCTGCACTGCGTGGGGAGAGGCAGGTGAGCCGGGCCCCGCCGCGCCCCGAGAGCCAACCCGAAGCTCCGCCCCGACCGACCGTCCCACTCCGGAGGCCGCGCCGGATCCCAGGTAGTCTCACCGGGTCCCGAGGCTCGGCCTCCCGAGGCTCTGCCGGGAGCACCCCCCCTCACCGGTGTGGCCATTGTTGCGCAGGCGCAGTTCTGGGAGTGGCGGGAGCTCGAAGCCCAGGAGTTCCAGGGGTCGCAGGGCCTGGCAGACAGCGGCGAGCTCGGGGCGGATGTCTACCGGGGACTGAAGGCGGCCCGCGCAGGCTGGGAACACCTGGGGCCACGGCGGGTCGCCTGGGGTGGGATAATGCGGTGAGGAAGCCTGATGACTAGGTCGGGAACTTTTAGAGAACCCGCGCAGAAAAAGTGAAGGGGTGGAGTCAGAAGACTTCGGAGCGGGAACTAGAAATCTGGGACGTGGGCAGGGACGGGCAGCGGGCTGTGGCCAGGACGCCCAGGACCCGTGTTCGCGCATGGTTGTGGGGCAGATCAGCAGAGCTGGGTTCCCAGATTGGGTCTGTGCAGGGCGTGGGTGTCTCACCTCCATAGCGCCAATGACCGTGGTCATCCCCTGCATAAGTGAGAAGGATGAATAGGTCGATCTTAGAGCCCAGTCCTTTCCCTGGAGCCGAAATGGGTGGGACCCTCTAATCGACAGAAGTTCACAAACTCAGATGCCTTCCAGGGCATAGAAGGTAATAGGCCTGAAGCGGGCCAGGTGTAAAGCACAATAGACTGCAACCAGATGTAACCCCACAGCTGGGTAGGCCACACAGCAATCGCACGAGTTTGCAACCGCTCTCTTAGGGTCTGTAAAGCGGGTGGGCGCCTCAGCCCTGAGGCCCAAATCAGGAGACCGTCTTTCCTTTCTCTCTTACTCCTCTCTCCTCCCCACTCATCCCTCTGCCTTGTCTGGTCCCCAGCTCCTTTCCCAAAGTTCCTGGCTTGGGAGTCAAGATTCCAGGTTCCTCTACTTGCTGTTTCCTTTTTCCTAGGTCTCAATTTCCTCATTGCAGACTGAAGCTGAGATGATCTCCGCAAGCTCTTCTAGCTCATCCTCTGGTACCCACTCCACCCCTCAGTCTTTCATCAGCCTAGCTCACAGCAACCTCAAACTCCTGGGCTCAAGCAATCCTTCTGCCTCAGCCTCCCGAGTAGCTGGGACTACAGGCATGCGCCACCATGCCCGACTAATTTCTTCTATATATTTTTAGTTGTCTAGCTAATTTCTTTCTATTTTTAGTAGAGACAGGGTCTCGCTCTTGCTCAGGCTGGTCTCGAACTCCTGAGCTCAAACAATCCATACGCCTTGGCCTCTCAGAGTGCTAGAATTACAGGCGTGAGCCACTGTGCCCAGCCTATTTTTCCTCTTTCTCCTCTCCAGCCTCCGTCTTTCTTCTCTCCCATCTCTTCCAGCTCACTTCTCTCCATCTGTACCCCTTTTATTTTCTCTCCGCATCCATCCCCTTCTAGCTTTCATACTAATACACATACTCAGTTTTGCATTCAAGCTCAAATGTGCCTCCCACCTACCCAGCTACCTAACTCACCCTCAGGCTTCCCTAGCAGCTTGTCCTACCCCTCTGTCTGCTCCCTGGCTGGGCCAGGCATGTATATGTGGGCTGCTTTCCCTCTCAGCTAGAGGATGCAGAGGCCCAGCTCCTCTGCCTCTCCCCTACCCTGCCTGGCAAGGGCTGTCAGAGTACGGGCACCTCCCCTTCCCCGGATGGTCACTGCCTGGGTGAGGGGATGGGAAAGGGGGGCATGAACCTCCTGGAGCCTAGATTTGGAGGCAGATGGCCACTTACCTTTTTTGTCCTTGTGGGCATTATTCTGGGGGACTTGAGTATCTCCAGGAGCCTCAACAGTAGGTAAATCCTCTAACTTCAGGGAGTCGTCTTCTCCTGGTTCAAGCTTAACTTCAGGTGGATCCTCCTCTCCAAGTGTATCCTCCTCTCCAGGGGGATTCTCATCACTGGACAAATCCTCCTCGCCCAGTGGGTCATCTTCCCCAGATGAACCTCCTCCCATGGGAGGATCCCCTTGCATCTGGAGCGTGCTCTGGGGATGCACAGGCACCAGGAGCAGCAGTGACAGCAGCAATTGTACTGTAAGGCCTGAAGCAGGGGCGGGAATCAGCAGAGGGAGCCAGGGGCTGGGGCACAAGGGAGCCATGTGGCTGACTGCAGGGTATCCCAGCACACGGTGTGGACGGGCTGTACGTGCATTGGAAACAGGAGCTGGGTGGGGGAGGAGCAAGCCTGGAGGGGAGCAGGCTGACTCACATAGTGCCCTTTTGTAGAGATGGAGCCAAAATCCCGCTGGTCTGTCTGGCTCTGTGCCCCCTCCCCGATACCAAAACCCGGATAGGGGTGGAGTGAGGGCCAGGTGTGTGTGCACGCACAAGGTTATCGGCGTCATGGGCTCAGCTTGGAACCCAAGGCACCACCTGGCACTGTACAGGTTCTCCCTGGCACTGCCTGGTTGCTTGCCAGCCAGCCTCAGCTAACCCTGGCCTGCTTCCCAGCCCCAGGCAGGGAAGGGGAGAGGCAGAGGGGCTGGGCCCCCACATCCTCTAGCTGACAGGGAAAGCGGCCCACGTATACATGCCTGGCCCAACCTGGGAGCAGATAGAGGGGTAGGACAAACTACTAGGGAAGCCTGAGGGTGAGTTAGGTAGCTGGGTAGGTGGAAGGCACATTTGAGCTTGAATGAAAAACTGAGTATATGTATGAGAGAGACTCTGCTGGATTTAACCTAAATGTATTTTTCGTCATAATACTCCCTGCTCAAAAACCTTCATTGGCTCCCCACTGCCCACTGCCTACCAAAGTATGCTCATCTCGTCCTTCTGACTTCCAAGTCCCTTATAAACCTCATCCAAGGGCTGGGCATGGTGGCTCACGCCCAGAGTGCCAAGACAGGCTGATCCTTTGAGCTCAGGAGTTCGAGACCAGCCTGAGCAAGAGCGAGACCCCATCTCTACTAAAAATATAAAGAACATTGGCTGGACAACTAAAAATATATAGAAAAAATTAGCTGGGCATGGTGGCACATGCTACCTGTAGTCCCAGCTACTCGGGAGGCTGAGGCAGAAGGATTACTTGAGCCCAGGAGTTTGAGATTGCTGTGAGTTAGGCTGACGTCACGGCACTCTAGCCCGGGCAACAGAGTGAGACTCTGTCTCAAAAAAAAAAAAAAATTAATAAAACCTTATCCAAGAGACCTTTCCATCTTATCTCCTGTGAGTCTCCCTCATACTCCAGCCAAATTAAACTATTTATTTTTTCGCCAAACCTTTTACCACCTTTGTTAATCCAGTTCTTGCTCTCTGGAATGCCATTTACTCTTGTATTCCACAAATATTTATTTAGTACCTACCATATGTCAGGCATTGGGCTATGGAAATGAATAAGGCACAGTCCCTGCCCTGAGGGGCTCACAGTTTAGTGAGTGAGGGCAGACATTATTGTGATATAATATTGAGGGGAGAGAGATTAATTCTGTCTCAGAAGGCAATACAGAAGTAGGCAAAATTTGATCATGGCCTTGAAGAAGAAGTAGTACCAATTGGTAAAACCAGTAGAGAAATGGTATTCTGGGCAAAGGGGCGGCATGAAATATTTTGAGCAGGAGAGTAACAGAATCCAATTCTCATGTTAGGACATGTTGAGGGCCAGGGTGGAACATGGGTTGCAGGGGGAGGCTGGGTGCAAGGAGACAGGGTAGAAGAGTGTGAGTACCCCAAGAATGGGCTTGGGGTTCCCAGTCTGCCTATTTAATGAACATTTATTGAGCCTCCTCTAATCCTCCAGGTACTGTTCTAGGCCCTACATATGGATGCAGCATTGAACAGAGAACAGCTCCTACTGTTCTGTAGCTCACATGCTAGCAAAGCCCCCACAGCTTCAATGAACCACAGGGAATAAGGCCATTTCAGGTCCATATCGAGGGCTGATATTCAGCAGGCAGGCACCAGCATGGCTGTGTAGGTTAATTAAATATTTTGAAATATTTGTAATCCTGTTGGCATATAGCCACAGCACCTAGCTCCAGGGTGCCCTTGCCATCCTACCTCTTCCCTGGGGGCCCTCCAGACCTCATGATCCCTTATCTAAGGGGGTAATGCCTGGCACAGCAGGGGCCCCAGGACCCCACTTGAGTGCCTCAGCCAGTTTAAACTCTGATGGGTCGGTGCTTGTGCACCCACAACTGTATTAAATAGTCGAATAGTTTTACTGTCTCCCCTGTCTAAATCCCTTCTATTCTTCAAGACTCAGCTCAAAGGCCGCCTCCTCCAGGAAACCTTCCTTAACCAACCTTCCACTACTAGTCCAGGAAAGATGTCTGGTGCCTTTGAGCCACCACGGTTCTTTGTCTGCCCTTAATAATAACCCTGCCCACCATCTAACTCATATGAGAGTGATTTATGACATTTTATCTGCTTTAATAGCCTTGAGCTCCATAAGAGCAGGGTTCAGTATTTGACTGAGTCAGTCTTTTATTCAACAGCCATTATTAAGCATTTCTCTCTGCAGATGACCTTGCCAGGTGCTTGAGAAATACAAATTGACTAAGATGTCTTCCCTGCCCTCAGGGAGCTCTTTTTCAATGACCTGTGCATGTCAAACCACAACTATCCCAGAAGCCTAAGATTCTAGGTTGCCATTTCTAGAGCCAAATTAAGAGCCAACTTGTGATCCAGTGTGCACTCTGGATGGTCAGTTGGTTGTCTTGGTTAGCTATATCATTAGCACCCTCCTTGGACCCTGACACATGGAAAGTACATGGTGATATCTGAAATGGATGGGCCTGTACGAGACAGGAGGTGGTAATGACCAATCTAACTGAGGTGGAAGAGGTTGTGTGGGCAGAGACAGAGTGCCATGCTAACTAGAGTCAGTAGGCTGTATGGCTGGACATGTTTCTCTCCCACCAATCTCAGCTTGGGAACCCCAAGCCCATTCTTGGGGTGCTCACACTCTTCTACCCTGTCTCCTTGCACCCAGCCTCCCCCTGCAACCCATGTTCCACCCTGGCCCTCAACATGTCCTAATATGAGAAATCTCAGTTCATTTTTCCTCTTTCCAAATGTTCTGAATAGTTCAGTCTTTTTCTTTTTCTATTTTAGATCCATCAGCAACTCTTTGTACATGTGTCCGCAGCACTCTCTGTCCCCACACCCCTGGGGCTTTCTCTCAGTATTTCACAGCACGGATCTGCCTGTAGGTGCGGCTGTCTCTCTGTTACAGCTTACTGATTTTCCAAATGCGATTCCCTGTGGCTCTGTTTCTCTCTTTAGCTCTCCGTCTCTGTGTGACCATGTTTCTCGTCTGGGTGGAGAATGTGGACTCTGACCCTGGATCATGCCTTCACATCTGGGAGTCTGCCAACCCCTCAAACAGGTTTGAGCTCCCAGAGTTCTTGTTTCCTGAGTCTCCCCAGGTTGAGACAGAGTGCACTCAGGACCCAGAGTGTACTCAGGACCAACGGACTGGGGCATCCCCCACCTGGTGCAGGACCTCTCTGTAGTTGTTGTAGAGACCAAGTCTTTGGTCATTAGGGTCTGTGTCTTCAAACACTTAGGGGCCATGTTACTAAAATATGTCTCTGCTTATCCCAAGGTTGCAGAGGAGGGAGCTATTCACTGGGGGGGTAGTCTTTGGGGATTGGGAGCAAAGACTGGTCAAAGCCCTTCTGGGGCCTTGAGGCTGACCTGTAGCTCTGGCCCACTTCACTGTCTGTATTAGTTTCCTAGGGCTGTCATAACAAATTACCGCAAATTCTGTGGCTTAAAACAGCAGAAATTTACTTTCTTATAGTTCTGGAGGCCAGAAGTCTGAAGTCAAGGCTTTGGCAGAGGGTCTTCCCTCTGAACACTCTGGGGAAGAATCCTTCCTTGTCTCTTCTATCTTCTGGTGGCTCCAGCCATTCCTTGGCTTGTGGCTGCATGACCCCAATGTCTGCCTCCAACCTCACATGACCTCCTCTTGTCCTTGTATCTCCACCAGGTGCCCCTTATCGAGATACTTGTCATTGGATTTGGGGCATACTGAGATAATCCAGGATGATCTCATCTCAAGATCCTTAACATAATTATATGTGCAATCATCTTTTTCCAAATAAGATCACATTTACAGGTCCTGGGGGTCAGGACATGGCTATGGACATGTCTTTATGGGACATGTCTTCATTTAGTCCACTCCCAGCATAGTAGAACTGAAGGGGATGCACAGGATGAGGAGGGATGAGTCTGTGTTGGAGACTCTTCATGCCATCCGCCCTTATCCCTCTCCATATTATTTGTAGGCCATATATACATGGATTAATTTGTGGGTTCTCTATTCCGTTCTATTGGTCTATGTGTCTCTTTTTACGCCAATACCATGCTGTTTCGGTTACTACAGCCTTGTAGTATATTTTGAAATCTGGTAGTGTGATGTGTGATGCCTCCAGCTTTGTTCTTTTTGCTAAGGATTGCTTTAGCTATTCAGGGTCTTTTGTGGTTCCATAGAAATTTTAGGATTTTTTTCTATTTCTGTGAAGAATGTCATTGGTATTTTGATAGGAATTGCATTGAATCTGTAGATTGCTTTGGGTAGCATATCATTTTTTCATAACTTTTCTTTCTAATTACAAAGTAATGCATGCTCAATGCAGAAAACTTGGGAAATGGGAAAAGTATGAAAGAACTTAAAAAATCACACTGTTTGTCCTAATCATCACTTTAACCTCAGTGATCCAGTACCTGGGACAGATTAAGTATTTAATACATATTTGTTGAATGAATTATCTTCAATCTCATCTCTCAGAGTTAAAAACCACAATTAACTTTTGTTTAATCTTCCAACCTTTTATATATATTTTATATCAAGTGTATGTTATTGTACAAACAGCTTTAGAGCCTGCTTTTTTTCTCTCAGCAACATTCTTCCTATGTGTGTTTTCCCATATTGATAGCTTTTTTATACTACAACATCATTCTTAATGCTTTCATATTATTCCTTCCCATACTTTTCCTAACCAATTCTCTGGATATTTAGGCGGTTTCTAGTTTTCTGTTGTTACAAACAACATTGCGCCAGACATCCTGGTACAAAATGTTTTTGTCCACATATCTATTTCTTTAGGATGCATTCCTAGAAGTGGAATTGCTAGGGCAAAAATGTAGGCACATTTGAAGATTTCTAATACATACTAACAAAATGGCACTGCCAATGTACCCTCTAGGACTACTGCCAATTTTTCAAAAGGCCCAAGTATGGAAAATAGACTACGTTTTAGTTTTGACTAGACAGCACAGACTAATCAACTCCAAGCTTTTGCCTTTGGCCAGAATCACATCAATTCCAAATCACTTCGTTAGTTATTGACACCTGATGAACAGAAGCTAATTGGCTGTCAAGTTTTGGATCTGTATGAAACGTGAAAATGAGTAAAACCTATAAACTTTTGTCCAGGGGCCAAAATATTTCAAACCTTGTGACCCGTGAGAGGTCCTAGTAGTAGTGAAAGCATTGGGAACGACTGATCCCCGCTGGCGTCTGGCATGGGCCCAGGACAGAATGCGTTCCGTAATTATCTCCCCCTTCCCAAGTCTCCTCAAAGTCCAGGCTGCTTCCCCACCTTAGTGCCCCCCAGAGGAGGGCCGCACAGCCGCCCCACTCGGCCTTGTCCGGGCCAGCCCCGCGCAACTGTAGCACCGCCCTTGCGGTGGGGCGGGGCGGAGGCCGAGGAAACCCGGCGGCGTCCGGCCGGCCGCCGCGCATGCTCCGTGCTGCGGTCCCGGAGCGGTTGGAATTTGAATCTCCGGCGGGCTGCGGCCGGAAGTGTAGATCCCTCAGCTCGGCATGGAGAGCCCGGGACCCGGCGCTCGGTGCCCAGTGCAGGAGCAGCGTGCCCGCTGGGAGCGGAAACGTGCCTGCACCGCCCGGGAGCTGCTGGAGACTGAGCGGCGCTACCAGGAACAGCTGGGGCTGGTGGCCACGGTGGGGTCCTGGATGGGGCGGGGACCCCAAGGTGTGGGAGGGTGTCTGCGAGGTTGGTGACCCCTAGTATGGTGGTCTTGGGCTTTTCCCCTGTATGTAGGTAGCTCGGGCCGACTTCTACTTCTACATTTTCTGGCCGCGCCTTGGCGTTAGCCTCCTCCAGGGTAAGATACCAACATTCTCTCCTTCCGCAGTACTTCTTGGGGATCTTGAAAGCCAAGGGGACCCTGCGACCACTAGAGCGCCAGGCCCTATTCGGGTCCTGGGAGCTCATCTACGGTGCAAGCCAGTGAGTGGAATAGGCGCGGGGAGAGGGAAGGAGGGTGCGCCCTGGCCTCTGGCAGTGCACAGAGCTTGCACTCAGCAAGACTCAAGTTCCTATTCTTAGCCTGCCAGTTACCTCACCTTCGGCCTTGGCCCAGTGCCTTAACCTGCCGCAGTTCTCCATCTGTAAAATGGGGTAATAGCACTACCACCTCCAGGGTAGTGCTAGCCTCATAAGAGGATTAAATGAGGTGGTGCTTGAGTAGTTCTTGGGCTGCCCCTTTACTGCCCTTGCCCCACAGAGAGCTGCTTCCCTACCTGGAGGGAGGATACTGGGGCCAAGGGCTGGAATGCTTCTGCCACCACCTGGAGCTCTACACCCAATTTGCTGCCAACACAGAGAGGTCCCAGACTACCCTGAAGGTAACCTGAAGATGACCTCAAATCTGACCCCTTTTCCTCTCTTGACGCTTACATTTCCTCTTCATCTGGAGACCCAAACTTCATTCATTTCCTGCACTTACAGAGCCCTCTGGGTGCCCAGCTTTGTGCTAAGTTCCCTGTAGGGAGACAGAGTTTCTCTCAGGAGCACACGCTTACTGATGGCTGGGAATGTGTACACAGATGAATGCAATAAAAGGAGTGACTTGTCTCCCGGCTGCCAACCCTTTCCCCCACCAGGAGCAGCTAAAGAAAAACAAATGTTTCCGGAGGTTTGTGCGGCTTCAGGAAGGCCGCCCTGAGTTTGGGGGCCTTCAGCTCCAGGACCTGCTCTCTCTGCCTCTTCAGCGGCTCCAGCAGTGAGTGAACTCGTCTTGATTCAAACCAGCCTCTCCGTGTCTGTATGAATGCTGCCCTCAGCTTTGTGGGATGCCTTGGGGTCTATCCCAATCCTCTGCCTCTCCCTTGAGCCAAATTGTTTGTAAAAATCTTTTGCAAGAGTAAATGTGAACCCACTGGAGTACCCAGGGTCTGCAGCCTCAGGCCCTCAGCTGGGACCCTGGAACTCTGCACTGAAGTGAGGGGCCTTTACTAGGGCCTCAGACAGAATATCTGGAAAAGTTTGTTGAGATAAGGGGCTGCCCAAGCTTAGAATTTCTGGCTCTGGGTTAAGCCTGAGTTAAGAGCTTATAGTCGGGTTCTCTGTATAGCATCCTCCTTGGGTTCATTGACTTTCACCTTCCCAGCTGGCCTCCCAAACTATGGTCAGTCTGCCATTGATTTTTTTTTTTTTTTTTTTTTTGAGACAGAGTCTCACTGTGTTGCCTAGGCTAGAGTGCCGTAGCGTCATCTTAGCTCACAGCAACCTCAAACTCCTGGGCTCAAGGATCCTCCTGCCTCAGCCTCCCGAGTAGTTGGGACTACAGGCATGCGCCACCATGCCCGGCTAGTTTTTTCTATATATTTTTAGTTGTCCAATTAATTTCTTTCTATTTTTAGTAGAGACGGGGTCTCGCTCTTGCTCAGTCTGGTTTCGAACTCCTGAGCTCAAACAATCCACCCGCCTCGGCCTCCCAGAGAGCTACGATTACAGGCGTGAGCCACGGCGCCCGGCCTGCCATTGATTCTTAAGTGTGGAGTGCAAGAGGGCCACGTGGCGTGAGCCCAAGCTCCGAGTCCCAGATTAAAGAGGGGGATACAATAGCCAGAAGCAGATCGTTTTTGGCCTTGCAACTGAAGTATGTGTAGGGGGTGATCTTTTTATCAGATGGGGTAATTTTGCCACCTCTACCTCCTCTCATAGATGTCCCACTGCACAATTCCAGGTATGAGAATCTCATCGTTGCTTTGGCTGAAAACACAGGTCCCAACAGCCCTGACCACAAACAGCTCACACGTAGGTTCTTGCTCTTCTAAAGCTCAGGCAGGAGGCTTCCTCTCCTGTATCCCTTTCTGATTCTGACATCCAACAATGTCTGGTATGTCCCTGTCTTCCATCAACATGTATACAGTGTCCCTATTGCCCTGCCTTTTCTTCAAGAAGTTAGACCCTGACCCTGGTCTCCTCCAGAATAGCCTGTCTTTCACTACCACCAGTCACCCAAAGTCAAAATTGTGTTGGGAGTGAGGTGGGGGATGTTATTGCAGGGGCTGCCCGGCTGGTAAGTGAGACTGCCCAGAGAGTCCACAGCATTGGTCAGAAACAGAAGAATGACCAGCACCTCCGGCGTGTCCAGGCTCTGCTCAGTGGACGCCAGGCAAAGGGGCTTACCTCAGGTAGTCTGTGTACTTCACCCCCCAACCCTCAACTGCCTCTCTCTTACCCCTCTTCCTCTATAGAGCCAGCACATACCCCCGATTTTCTCAGCATCCCTTTCCTTCTATCCCATGGGTCCTGGAGCTGCACCAGAATAATAGCTCTCCCATCCCCCAGGACGCTGGTTCCTGCGCCAGGGCTGGCTGCTGGTCGTGCCTCCCCGTGGGGAGCCTCGGCCCCGCATGTTCTTCCTCTTCTCCGATGTGCTCCTCATGGCCAAGCCTCGACCTCCATTGCACCTGCTGCAGAGTGGTACATTTTCCTGCAGGGCCCTCTACCCCATGGCCCAATGTCAACTCCAAAGGGTATTTGGCCACTCAGGAGGCCCTTGTGGTGGACTACTCAGTGTAAGTAATGGGTGGGAACCCTAGGCACAAAATCTCTCTTAAATGCTTATGGACCAGCTTATCTCCTTGGCCTGGGTCCCTTTTTGTAGGAACAGAACTGTCTACATTGAGAGGATTGCTGGGGCTTGGGCTTGATGTTTAGTTCTCATCTCATCCCTGAATTACCTCCATGGAAACAGCAAGGGTTTCAGCTTTTGCCTGGACCTTTCTGAGCCATGCACTAAGAGGTGGTCTCTCCTTAGCTGTCCTTCCCTTACGAGAAGCTACTGCTCATGTCCACAGACCAGGAGGAGTTGTCACACTGGTACCACAGTCTGACTTTGGCTATCAAGTAAGTTTAGCCTTCCCTCAGGAACAGTGCTGTGATGAGGCCCACAAGCTGGAAATGAGCAGTTCTGATCCTATCTCATGTCCTACTCTGTCTGGGACCCCTTCCCCCAATCCCACGGGTGATCTTGTCTGAATAGAGCACTCATGCCAGTGCCTGGACTGACTGACTTCTCTCCACAGCAGCCAGAAGAACTAGAGGAATCTTACAAATTCCGGAACTCAGGATACTTCAAGAATAGGTCAGAGCCAGGGGTACAAAGGAATCTTTTTCAGTATTAAACAAAACAGAACCCTTCCTGGTTTGACAAGAGTCATTTTGTGTTCTCCAGGGACTGAGCTACTCTGGGTCATTTGACCAGCTCCCAAGAATCAAGACCCAACTGAACCTTCACTGAACCAGCCCCTGACACAAATGAGGGGACTTGGGACTGATCAACTCAGTGCTGTGTCTATGGCCAGTCATTTATCAAGGTTGCAGCTTGTAAATGTGGCTATTTTTATGTTGTGTTTCTATAGTTTATTTTTTCACTGGATTTTAATAAAGTGGTTTTTTTTTTTTTCTTGGAAAGATCTTTCTGTCTCAGCTTTGCTATGAGAAAAGGGATTTTCAAGCCCTGAAGCCTGGCATGCTGGTGGCCTCAGGAATACCAGGAAAAGAACTGGAGCTCCCTCTATCTTCTCTGCTCTCACACTGGAAGGCAGCCTCTTTTTGTCCTAATAAGGGAAGCTTTTCAAGAAGGCCTAGCTGTCCTCAGGCACCTACTATGGGTGTGTACGACCAGCTGGGATGGAAAAAGCACACAGAAGCAGCCAGTCACAACAACAGACTTTGTTTTACTAAATCCTCAGCTGTGGTCCCTCCTTCCCGGCTGGGGCTGTGATTGGGGCCCTTTGCTGCAGCCCTGCTGCACCTTCTCCTTAGCCCCTGCTCCACCTCCCAGGAAGTGGCTAGGTTCCATGTCTCTGTGCTCCAGTTTACAGGCTCCTCCTCGTCCTCCTCTAGACGTAAGTCCTCGGGAAAGGGTATGTTGGCTTCTGTGAGGGGAAAGATCAGGTGTGTTCCAGTTTCAGAGACTTTGTCTCCACTTCCACCAGACTCACCTCCCAACCCTTTACCTGGTTCTGGAACCTCCATGCCTTTGTCTGGCTTGTTATCTTGGAGCAGCTGGTGAATGGTCCATAGCTTCATGTTTAGAAGCTCCTGCTGGGCTCCAGCCAGGGTAGTCACACTGCAGAAACGTCCACTAAGGGGCTGCCCAATCTATGTCCCCATTCCTCTCACCTGCCCCAATCTCCCCAAAAATTCACAGGTCATTGCTTTCCTCACCGCTCAAAGAGGGGGTCCAGCTGGGCCATCAGATTGTTCAGGTGCTGCTCTGTCTGGGCCACTTGTTGAGTCAGTTGAGCCAGCTGTTGCTCTGGAGGTAAGGGAGAAAAGGGGGACAATGGTTACATATCTTCTGCTGTCTCCTGATCTCCCTCCACCAAGCATAGACATCTGCTAAACCCACCTAACTGCAACGATTGCTTCTTGCCTGCCTTCTCTTGGAGAACTGCGGCCTCATCTCTCCCCTGCTGTGGAAGAAAGAAAGGGCAATACTGCAGCAACAAGGTTCTGCTCCATCACCTCAGTCTCCAAAGCCAGTCAGGAGAGGAGCACAATTTGAGGTACAGAAGGCTACTGGGTTTTTACCTCAGAGGATCACAACCACTCTAGTCTAGCTCCTCACCCAGGACATGAAGCAACTTGTCAATATGCCCCACACGTGGTCATTCAGTCTACTGAGACACTTCCAGGAATGAGCAACTCTCCCCAGTTTGATAACGGTCTGGTTGTTAGACAGCTCATATACAAAGACATAATTTGTCCTTCATGTATCTTCTTTCAATAATGCTGATTAGAGACTTCCAAAATAATGTCTCTTCAACATGATAGCCCCCCAGGAATTTGAAGACAATGGTTATATTACCCCACCCTCTTTCCCAGGTTTTTTCTGGTTTAGTATCTTCAGTCTTTTCAGTCAGTGCTCGTTTCACATGGTTTTCTCTGGTTGCTTTACTGAGCATTTTGTATTCTTAAAGCAGTGTCCTGAGGAGAATAAAATTCTCCAGGAGTGTTATGATTAGCAGACAAAGCACGGTACCTTGTTCCTAGCATTGAGTTGGGAAGTGGGTTGTCACATCACATAATGCACTTATTAGTCAACTGGAATGCCTAAGCCCCTTTCATAAGAGCTGCTAAGTTATGTTTCTTCCATACTGTACTTGGGCCAATAATAGAATTTATTAATCTATTCTTGTTAAATTTCATCATTAAATTCAGTCCCATCATCCTATCCTGTCGAATCTACTTGGCATTATTATTAGCTATCTCTTCTAGTTTCACATTTCCACATTGGTTCAACCCTCTATTTCCTAATGCCAGTAAGTGATGGGGCCTGAGAGGTACTACTTTCCATTTCAACTAATGCAATCCACCAAAATGTACTGTCAACTCACACCTGAGGACTTCCTTCCCAAGGGAATGTGAGACCCCTTGGCATCCTGAACTCTAGAAACACTGTGGCTGCAGCAATCAACCGCTTGTGCCAAGGCTGGGACTGCACTATCGTAGTAGGGACAGTAGCTGGGTTCAAATCCCAGCTCCACCAGTTACTAACTCTGGGTGACCTCGAGCTCTTCTTTGGATTGTAGGAGGATTAAGTGTGAGGATCATTATTTATTTACAATTTTACTACTCGCCCTTCACATCCATTATCTCGTAGGATCCTCAAAATAACCCCATACCGTTGGAAAGCCAAAGAACGTGTCTTGTTCTTGGTACCATAGTGCCCCCATGGGAGATTCAGGTCCAGGGCACCCTCACCCCCAGCCGTCCCGCACCTGCAAACACTTGTACAGCACAAAAGCCACGACGGCCGCGGTGTACAGCGCCCCCAAAGGCAGGGCCCCAGTCCGGGCCCGCTCGCGCTGGTCCTTAGGCGGCAATCGCTGCCGGGCTTCTGTGGCCCCAGAGCCGACCTGGGAGGGGTTCCCTGCAGAGGGAAGGCAGAGGTGGGTCAGCTGACCTGAGGCCTGGGACTTGTGGGTAGTCCCAGCCTCCCTCCAGCAGCCCTCGCTGGTACCTGTGTGTGCCCGGAAGTCGGGGCTGGCACGGTCTCCGAGAACCCCGGGCAGCGCAGACACAAGTAGCAGCCCCAGCACGCCAGACAACGAGAGCGCGCCCGCCATTGCCGGCCCACACACTGAGGGCCCCAGCAGCGCGTGTGCGCGCACGCGCACACGCGCTGCTGAGTAGATCCTACTCTGGGTCTCTCAGGGTGGCCACGCCCACGCGGGGGCGGGACCGGAGAGTATTTGCATAAAGCAAATACGTGTCATTCTGGTTTTCCCAAATTTGTTTATCATCTCTTTAGGCATTCCAATAGGCACAGTGCATCTAGAAGCCTACAATCTTGTGCCAAAAAGTGGTTCATTTTTATATTCCATATCACCAACTTTCTCACCGTAACCGAAAGACAAAGTTTCTCACAGGCTTATAAAGGGGTAGCGGGAGAATGCTAACAAGTAGGTCGTGCTGAAGGCCTGTTTCCTAGGCTACAGACGGGGGACTAGTTCCTTATTCTTCCGCCTAGGGGAAAGTCCCCGGACCTCGGGCAGAGAGTGCCGCGTGCACGCGCACGTAGACATCCCTCCGCTTCCCACTGTAAAGTCTGCCAAGAAGCGAATTCCGCCGAGCGGCGTGGCCGCGGGGGGCGTCGTCCGTCAGCTCTACTAGTTACGCAGGCAGTGCGTCTTCGCGCACCAACCACACGGGGCTCATTCTCAGCGCGGCTGCTTTTTTTTTTTTTTTTGGGACAGAGTTTCACTCTTTTGCCGGGCCTAGAGTAAGTGCCGTGGCGTCAGCTTACCTCACAGCAACCTCACACTCCTGGGCTCAAGCGATCCTTCTGCCTCAGCCTCCCGAGTAGGTGGGACTACAGGCATGCGCCACCACGCCCGGCTAATTTTTTCTATGTATTTTTAGATGGACGATTAATTTCTTTCTATTTTTAGTAGAGATGGAGTCTCGCTCTTGCTAAGGCTGGTTTCGAACTCCTGAGCTCAAGCAATCCGCCCGCCTCGGCCTCCCAGAGTGCTAGGACTACAGGCTTGAGTCACCGCGCCCGGCCACCGCTGCTTTTTATTCATGGTTTCGAGTTCCCTCCTCTTCGAAGTAGGGACCCGCTTCTCATGCCCCTAGTACATCGCGGGATCCTAACGTTTTTAGTCCCCTATTACTATAACGGCCTCCTCTTCTACCGCCCTCTTCATCTGGCAAATGCCAAAATAGCCGCCATTTATTGTGTAGCATGGTTTGGACTCTGCCTGGGCTGGTAATCCTGCCTCGTCTACTCAAGAGCAGGTGACTTCGTGAAAGCTAATTACTCTCCGTGCCTTAGTTTCCACTCTGAGGAACGGAGGTAATGTGCATATACCTCAAGAGTTGTTATGACGATTAAATCAGAAAATCTAAGTGCTCGGAACCGTGCCTAGTAGTGATTAATCACTACTGCGCAGCTACCGTGAGGCAGGCGGATGAAATTACACTGACTCGGGATGTTCAGCCGTTATTCCCTTTCTGCACAGTTGACTTCTACGTAACCTTCAGCTCGTGTGTTCCCTTCATTCAGAGCCCTTAACCCAACTTCTAATTTATTCCTTAGTGCAACTATTTTACTTTCTTCATCACCACCAGACTATACCACCAGGGCAGGGGCCACGTCTCTTTTCTTCCTTATCGTTTTACTTCCAGAGCCTAGCACAGCACCTAGCGGTAGCAGACACTCAATGAATCCTTGTTGAATGAAATTAATGAATGTTCAAAACGACCCCAAAAGGGTAATATAATTAAGCTCTTTCAAAGAATGAGGAAACTACCATTCAGGAAGGTTAAGTAGACTATTAATCAGGTAAGAGGCAGGGCGGCGATTCCAACTCTTTTCTGTCTCTCAAGACCATCTGCTTCACCAGCCTTTCCCGCTCCTTGCCTTCCACGACCTCTCCAGGCCGACAGGTATTCCTTTCCGTCCCACATCGCCTTTTCATTGTCTGGGATACACAGGATCATCTTCCCAACTAGACCAAGAGCTCTCTGAGGAAAGAAACCATGTTGCATTCACATTGCTATCTGCAGAGCTTGGCACATAAACAGGCAATCGGTACACGTGTGTTAAATACATGAATGAAATATTGGTGTGTCTTCCTGTTTTTCCAGAAAGCAAGGGGTGAGGGCAGGGCAGCGAGACGCCTGCACTCAGGGGAGTTGTCATAGTCTCCAGAGGCAGCCTGGGTATGCAGATCAGGGTAATCCAAACCCTCAATCTAAGGCAGTTGGCATAGTCGATGTAAATGAGAGGTTCAGGCCAGCTGTAATAGGATTAGTGGTCCCTACCAGATCTTTTGATTTTTTTCTTTTTTCAAAACAATCAGCAAATCAGGATTTTTTTTAAATATGAAAGTGGGGGTTGAGAGGAGGGGTTGTTCAGCTTCCTTTTTTTGTTGTTGTCGAGACAGAGTCTCACTCTGTTGCTCTGAGTAGAGGGCAGTGGTGTTATCGTAGCTCACTGCGACCTCCAACTTCTGGGCTCAAGTGATCCTCTTACCTCAGCCTCCGGAGTAGCTGGGACTACAGGCGCACGCCATGAAGCCTGGCCGATTTTTTTCTTTTTGGTAGAGACCGAGTCTCACTCTTGCTCAGGCTGGTCTCAAACTCCTGGAGCTCAAGCCATCCTCTACTGCCTCAGCCTCCCGGAGTGCTAAGATTACAGGCGTGAGCCACCGCGCCCAGCGGACAAATCAGGATTTTTAAAATTGGAAATCTCTTGGCCCGGAGCCGTGGCTCACCCCTGTAATCCTGGCACTGTGGCAGGCCGAGGCGGGAGGATCGCTTGAGCCCAGGAGTTCTATGTTGCTGTGAGGTAGGCTGATGCCAGGGCACTCTACCCAGGGTAACAGAGCAAGACGGTCTCAAAAGAAAAAAAAAAATTAAAATTGGAAATCTCTCAATTTTTAAGTGTTGATAAGGAATCAGTGGCATACTTAGCATATTTGATACCAAGTGGATCATTTTTAAAAATTCTCCATATGATGAAATTATTTTTAGTAATAATTATGAAATGAAATGAATAATAAAAGTCAGAAAAGAAATTCAGATAGTAAATATTTTCTTTTATTGAACTTTCTATATATAATTATGCTGGCATAAAAATACAGTCATGCATCGCTTAATGATAGGGATACCTACTGAGACATGTGACATTAGGTGGTATTGTTGTGTGCAAACATCATGGAGTGTATTTTTACAAACCTAGATGGTATAGCCTACTACCCACTTAAGTCATATGGCATAGCCTATTGCTCCTGGGCTACAAACCTGTACAGCATGTTACTGTATGGAATATTGTAGGCAACTGTAACATGATGGTAAGTATTTGTATATCTAAATATAGAAAAGGCACAGTAAAAATAAGGTGTTATAATCTTATGGGATCACCATGATATATGTGGTCCATTGTTGACTGAAATGTCGCTCTGTGTGTGTGTGTGTGTGTGTGTATAATATATATAGTTAAATGTTTTAAATCAAACATTACAGAACAAGAAAGGAAAAGGTAATAGGTTGATACTTCCAATTACATTATTGTATTTTTTGAGAAAAGGGGTAAAAAACTTATACCTACATATTGATCAGTCTGAGTAATGACTAGCATTATAATTTCTTTTTTGATCCTTCTGTAAATTTGTCACAAGTAATCTTTGCATATTCAATAGAAAATATAACCAGACTTGTCAATCCTTACATATAGTTGATTAAAGAGTCTTTTATTTATTTATTTATTTTTGTAGAAATGAGGGTCTCACTACCTTTCTCCAGGCTGGTCTTGAACTCTAGGCCTCAGATGACCCTCCTGCCTCAGCCTCCCAAAGTGCTGGGATTACAGGCATGAGCCACAGCACCTGGCCTATCACTGACATTTTTTAAGAGTAGTGAATAATAAATGGTGATAATAAAAAGAGAACTGATTTTTAGTCTGTTTTATTTTTTAAATCTTCTATGGACAATGCACCCCCTTACTGCCTGCAACCCAAAAGGCAGGACTTCTCCTGCCACCCACATTGTCAGCCACTGAAACAAATTCAAATTTAAAAAAAAAATGTATATTTGAATCTGGATTTAAGACAGGAAAAAAAAAAAAAGGAAGAAAAGAAAAAAAATGTATGGGCCAGACAAAACACATCTCTGACTTCTGGTCTAGGGTTTATATTTAGAACTTAAAACCCCTCTTCCCACACCAATTCGCACACCGACAGCCTCCCACGTGGTTGGGCTATCCCTAGGCACAGCAGGTACTCCACTCCTTGAAGTGAACAAGTGCAAAGATGGGCTCAATTTCCCAGGATAGTCTTGGGGCAGAGATTTCTTTAATGCAATTAACTATTGAGAGTGACAGTTCTTAGGGACAATTTCGATGGAGTGGGTCGGGGGTGGGGAATCTAGCTTTCTCTATGCCCCAAACTGTAATACTAGTGATAGTATTAATAACAACGACAAGGACCATCTAAACACCTGTTCTCAGATCAGCCTTCGGGTGTGATGGGATTGCAGGTACCCGGAGGGGCACCCCCCCCACGCCTTTCCACTTTGTAACATCCTCTTTAAGCAATACATTCTCCCCCATGGGACTCAGAGTCAGGGAGTAAGGGGGGCATCCTGGGGCAGAAGGTGTGCTCCTGTCCTTGTCGGTCCTGCCTCAGGCCCCTTCTGCCCCCTCAGAGTCTTCAGGGGCTCACCTGCACGTGGCACACTCAGGCTTGCCTTTCTTCTTGAGGGGGCCACAAGACCATGGGGGTTGGGGGAGCTCGGGAGCTGCAGGAGTGGTGCAGGTGCAGGCACAGGGCGGGGTCTTTGTTCTTTTGCTCATCCCTGCCCTCCCCCTTCCTCCCCGGAAACCAGTGACTTTGCCACTACCAGTATTGGGGATGCTGAGCTGTGGGGGCCAGGCCCAGGGCAGCGTGGGGGTGAGGTGGGCTGTGGCAGGTGTCAGGCCATGAACGGGACCTACCCTTGGCTCTGGGCAGTGATCGTGGACTCGACTCTCACATAACAGTCATGAGCGGAGGTGACAACTGCACAGATCTACTAGCTCCGGGTGAGCTGGGCGGGGCAGGGGCTCCCAGGGGAGGGGTCAAGTGGCCCACATCCCACTTGCTGGGACCTGGGGGGGGGTGGGCTGGGCAGTAACATCCCCCATCCTCTCATATCCACAGGAATCCCCTCCACAGACCAGGCCTGGGGACTGTGGGCCCTCCTAGGGGCTGTGACGCTGCTGCTTCTCATCTCACTGGCTGCACACTTGTCCCAGTGGATCAGTGGCTGGGGCAGGGGCCATCTGGGGCAGGGACGGTGAGTGAGGACAACAAGGATGGGTTGATTGAGAGTTCCCTCTTACGGAGAAGTGCCCACTCATGCCCTAAACTCTGTTGCAGCTCTGGAGGGTCTGTGGAAGAGGTCCCCCTGTATGGGAACCTGCATTATCTCCAGACAGGTAGGGAGCCGGCAATGGGAGGAGTGCAGAGGCCAGGTCGAGGGTGGGTGGGATGAGGATGTGCAGGAGGAGGAAGACGTAGCTGACCAGATTCCTGTTCCCTGCCCAGGGCGGCTGAATCAAGAACCAGCGCAGGACCAGCAGGATCCAACTGCCGGAGGCCCTGCCAGGGTGAGTCAGCTATGGCTGAAGAATAGGGAAGGGAAGGAGGAGGCTTTTTCAAGGGTCCAGTGAACTTCTAATGGCCTTGCATCTCCAGGCTGCGGAGGAGGTGACGTGCTATACCAGCCTGCAGCTTCGGCCTCCTCAGGGCCGGATCCCCACCCCTGGGACTCCCATCAAGTACTCGGAGGTGGTGCTGGACTCTGAGCCAAAGCCCCAGGCCTCGGGCCCCGAGCCAGAGCTCTACGCCTCGGTGTGTGCCCAGACGCGCAGGGCCCGGGCTTCCTTCCCCGACCAGGCCTACGCCAACAGCCAGCCTGCGGCCAGCTGAGACGGAGCCTGGCACAGCAGGGCACACGCTGCCCAGCCTCCCCTGGAGTAGGGCATGAATGTTCCCCAACCAGCCCCCAAAGACAGGGCGCCATTGCCTAGTCACAGGATGTGATCTACCCTGAACTTCCTATCTGAGCTGTGAGGAGACATCTTGGGCGCACTGTTTCTTGAGGATGGAGGAGGCAACGGCGTGGCCCCATCCCCACCTCATTTTTCTATCTGTTCCTCTCAGCCCCCAAACTCCCTGGTTCTCACCTGCACCTCCTTCTGGAGTTTAACCAGATCCTCCCCCACTCTATAGTCTACCCCTGACACCCCAGCATCTCCTTGGGCACAGGAAGTGGGCAGTGGGGGAGGGGGTAAGAGCCTGAGAGAATGTGGGTGGGTATACCCTTGGAAGCTCACAGGCTGGAGGGGTCCTGGACCCTAGAGACCTGAGGGACTCGAGCCTGGCTTCTGACCTGGGAACTCTGACAGGTCTTCATCCTGCTGTCTCTGTCCTGTCCCCAAGTTTTCAAATAAAACTTCTCAAAAAGTGTTCAGATTTTACCTAGAGGGCTGCAGACTGGCAACAGGCCCCACAGGTGGGGATGTGAGCTTTGCTGTCTGCACAGAGCACTTCTGGGGATGCCTAGTGGGGGACAAAGGGCCAAAAGGGGCTGCCACACCAGCACTGCAGAGGTGGGTGCCAGGGGTGGAGGTCGGAGCCCAGCTCCTCAGCTGCTCTTGCGGCTGCTATAACATCCCCAGGATCTGCCCTCAGAGCCACCACATTCCCCCCGGGCCTGCAAGCTCACCAGCCCCTGACTACTCTCCCATGACCTCTATAACTCTGCGGCCACCCCCACAACCTGCCAGCCTAGCCCCTCCATCCTCCCTCGTCCCCCAGGAGTCCCACCTGTACCCCTGTTTTGGCATCAGTAGCCTCATCTGCACTCTCATCTTATACCACCATGGGCCCTCTTGTCACCACATCACTATGGCAACAGTCCATCTCCGCTTCACTGTCTCAATTGTCACCCACAATCCTGGTAACAGTTTTGTTTGTCACCACTTTCATTTTAATCCCCATCCAATCATCTCTGCCTGTCCACCCATCATCTGCTTAATTCTTAACTCCAGCCTCCTGCACCACGTGGCATGCTGCGGTAGGCAAGGTGGCACCGAGATTAGAACTGTGGGCTTAGGAGCCAGACTGCCTGAGTTGAAATTCCATGTCTACTACTTACCAGCTGTGTGTTCTTGAGCAACTGGGCCTTGGTTTCTGAATCTGTAAGATGGGGAGGATATTAATGGTGTCTACTTTAAAAAAAGGCTGTTGTGAGGTTTAATTGAATTGCTATGAGTAGAGCACTTAGAAGACGATGAGTGCTCAATAATGCTAGGTATTACTAAAATAAGAGAAATACAGGGTCCTCTATAGGAGCTCACAGGTGAAGTGACTTGTAAGGAGGCACATGACACATAGTAGGAGTCTGCAGCGAGAACTGAAGGACAGAGATGTTCCAGGCAGAAGGAACCACAAGGCAAAGGAGAGGCTTCTTTGGAGGAGCTGACAGAAGTGCATTCAGCATGGCTGGAGGGATAGGGTTGGGGTTAGGGTTAGGGTAGGATAGGGTAGGGTTAGGAAGAAATGGCAAGATGAGGCTGGAGGGGTGGACCAAAGCCAGATCACACTGGGCCTGTAAACCATGCCAAGGAGTTTGGACTTTATCCTGTAGGTGAGGTGAAAGGTAGTCACTGAAGGTTTTTAAGCAAGGGATGAACACAGTCGGATACAGGCTATAGCTCTGCTGGCTGCTGTGTTGATTGGGAGGCCAGCAGACTGCAGTCAGGCTGTGCCTTTTGGAAGCTGTTGCAGAATCTGAGAGAAAATGGTGACAGTGGCAATGAGGATGGAGAGGAGAAGATGGACTAGAAAGAGATGTTTAGGAGGTTAAATTAAAAGGTCCTACCTAGCACACCCTCCATCTTTCTAGTTAGAGCCTGGAACATCCCCCACTCCCAATCCCATGGCAACATCCATTGGTTGCTCCTCCCTCCTTCCCTGTAGCCTGTGATCTGTCCCTCCCTGCGGCAAAAGCTCCAAGCTGGTGAACTCCTTCTTAGATATTTCACTGAAGTCTCCCCCCAGGGCCTCGTAGAGGCAGGTCCGGCTTGACAGACCTTTGAGGTTTGGGGGCAGACGAAAGAGGAAGGTGAGGCTTTCACTTCCAAGTTTCTCTCCTTCCCACTTAGAGCTCCAGAGAAAACCGTCCAGGAGGGAACCGCGCACATGATTGCGGCCTGGTGGTCCCAATGAGAAAGGGACCCCACACCCCCAGAAAACAAATGCTCCAGGGTCCCTGGACCTCTGAGAACCCCAGCCCGGGCCTCCCCAGGAGACGCCTAGGCCGCGGTTAAGGGCAGGCAGCTGGAGCTGCGTGGGAGGGAGGGTAGCTTTGGGGGCGGACACCGGATGCGGGGAACCACTGGCAGTGGGATGTGGGGTTCTGAGCGAGGCTATGCTTCTTAAGATGGCTCAGTGTGTTCGCGCCAGGAGGACGTGACAGCTCTACCCTGGGAGAGGCCGGAATCAGAGCCTGGAATCAGAGCAGAGGGCTCCAACGCTCCCAAGCCAGGCGGTAGACCTCCTCCCCGAAACGCGCCCTCCCGACCAGCGGCTGCCGGCGGCGTTCGCTGCCCTTGTCCGCTCAGGACTGAGCCCCCAGCGCCCCCGCCCGGCGAGACGCGGAGTCGCCGTCGCCTCTGCGCAGGCGTATTGCTGCCTGGTCCGCGGCATCCCGGAAGTTGTAGTCCCGCGGCTCGGGCCATCCGAGAGCTCAGGTCCCGCCGTCCCCGCCGTCCCCGCAGCCGTCTGCCAAGTTCTCAGAGCTTTGCGAACTCTCTCCGTTTGGAGCTGGGTGACATGACTGCCCCCAAACAGTCGCTTGTAAATTGAGTTTCTGTAAAACGATTTTATTTTTCATGTGTAACTGTAGCGAGGTATATGATTTCAACTTTGTTTTCCTTCCAGTCCCCAAAGCCCGGATCCTCTCTACAACCATTCAGTTTTTCTTACCTTGTTATCTTGTCTACATCACCGAGGCGCGTGCTCGCCACCAGGCCCTCAGCACTGAACACTAGGACACTGAACACTGAACACTGTGGCAGCTTCCTAACTGATCCCTGAATCTAGGAACTTGAGTTGTGGCAGCCAGATCCTCCTCAAACGCCTTGCAAGGGTCCCCCCTTGCCACACCTCTCTAGCTGGTTAATTTGTCCTACCAAATACCTGTCACTTCTCTCCCCCTCTGTAACTTTAGGTGCTTTCTTTAGTGGACTCTTTGGCCTCACCGGTTTACAATTCCAGCCGAAAGGAGCGCCTGTCCTAGGCAAATTCCCAGGGGGCAGACCCTTAGGGGGAACCACCAGGGTCCTTTGGGGCCGCAGCTTTTCCCCTCTTCCTGAGATCCCACCTGGGAGAACAGGGATAAACTTAAGACCTGAAGAGGAAGAGTCTTTGGGATAGTCAAAGGTTCAATGACAGGAAGTTCTTAAGTAATAACTTATAGGTTGGGAGGGGTTTCAGAAGCTATCCAACACTGCTTTGCTCTGCAGTCTGCCAAAGAGGTGTTTAAACTTCCAAGCTGGTTTTGGCTACAGGGAGGGAAACAACTGGAACGCGGAGGGAGACCACGTCTTTTTTTTTTTTAATTATTTATTTTTAATTATTACGGGTATATAATAGTTGTATAGCTTTATAGGGTACCTGTGATGTTTTGATACAGAAATACAATGTGAATTAATCAAATCAGGGTAATTGGGATATCCATCACCTCAGGCATTTTACATTTCTTTGTGTTAGGAACATTCCAATTCCAGTCTTTTAGTTTTTTTATTTTATTTTATTTGTTATTTTTTATTTTTTGTGAAGAAAACAGTTTAACTTATTTAATACCAAATGTTTCCCAAGTTTACTTTTCATAAAATGCACTTTTGGGACAATGTATGGTTAAAAAACAATATTCTACAAACAATTTGTTCAACAGTGCTCTAGATCATCCTAAAAGAAAAGGGAATCAGCAGGACAAGGACACCAGTCCTCCAGAAATTTAAAGCTTGGTTGATAGTCTCTCCCCATGGATGAGGACTCAGGTCCTAATTTTCTTCTGTGAACAGATTTTCTGATTTCAGCTGGGCCTTCCTTATATTCTCCAAGTTCAGTTTTTGATATTTTTCTTCTGAGAAAGCCACTGAAAAGACAGAGGGAAAGTCCAATTACAGGCCAAAGGTATCATTCTTGAACAGGATGACTATGATCACAATCAAAACCAGAAGGCCACCAACACTGCTTCCAGGGATGATAGGCACAGAATGGTACTCTTCATCTTTCAGGAAGATGACAGCGATCTTAGTTCTGTGGTGCTCTGCATTCAGCCCCTCATACAGAGATCTTTTGAAAGATATTTCACCAAGGGTCTGCAGTTCAGTTATATCTCTTAGCAACTGCTTAGCGTGACCCAAGGAGATCTCTGCAGCCACATTTTCTTTATCTGAAGTGATGGCACAGATCACTGAATGCCATTCTTCCACATGCTGAACCAGACTATCCACAAGTGAGTCCTAACTCTGGGTGCACACAGTGTAGGCCTGAAACAAGAGCCATTCCCGTTCCCATGAAGAATCTGAGCAAACTAAACCGCCATAGTTTTCTGCCCCCCTCTGGCTTCTTTTAGTTATTTTAACTTACTGTTGATTATATCACTGTGTTGTGCTAGCAAATGTTGTTCATTCTACCTATTTAACTGTATTTTTACATCCATTAATCATCCCCACTTTATCCCTCCATTCCTGATACCATTACCAGCCTCTGGTAACCATCATTCTACTCTGTCTCCATGTGAACAATTGTTTTTAATGTTTAGCTCCCACGTAAGAGTCAGAACATATGAGATTTGTCTTTCTGTGCTTGGCTTATTTCACTTAACATAATGTTCTCCAGTTCCATCTGTGTTGTTGCAAATGGCAGGATTTCATTCTTTTTTGTGACTGTATAATATTCCATAGTATATCTGTACCACACTTTCTTTATCCATTCATTTGTTGATGGACACTTTGGTTGATTCCAAATCTTGGCTATTGTGAATAGTGCTGCAATAAACATGGAAATGCAGA